AAGCCGGAGAGGTTCCAAGGTTTGGAAGGAAACAGAGATGGGTTCAAGTTGATGCCATTTGGGTCGGGGCGGAGGGGCTGTCCAGGAGAGGGATTGGCCACGCGGATGGTTGGACTGACGCTCGCTTCAGTTATTCAAGCCTTTGAGTGGGAAAGGATTGGTGAGGAAATGGTGGACATGACTGAGGGGACTGGGCTTACCATGCCCAAGGCCAAGGCTTTGCAGGCCCGGTGTCGTCCACGTCAGGCCATGGTGGACTTGCTTTCCAAAATTTAACGGAGCCCATTGTTCCTGTGTTTCTTTTTCCTCTTTATCTTCACCAAACGTTTACTTCTCCACCTCTTTCCTTCTTTCTTTCCTCTCCAAAAAGACAAAAAAAAAAAGAAAAAGAAAAAAAAGAAAAGAATCTTTCTTTCTCCACATCTTTCCTTCCCCTCCTCCTTTCGTTTTCCTTTGCAGCCATCTATCTTTGCCTCTTTCCATTTTCTGTGATATATGATGTTGTGAATGATGTACTTCTACATTTATATTCTCATATATGCTTAAAGTTAACGAAAAACTATTGTACTAAAATTGCATCAAACTGTATAATAGAAACTTTTAAATACGAAGTAAATCTCTTAATATTATAGCATTTTCTCTCATTCTTTTATTTTAAAGTTTTTATTTTACAAACTGATTGCAAAACAATAAATTCTTAAAATGAAAAAGCATTGTAAAGTTTGAAATACACAAGTTAAATGTTGAACGAATGGCGGGTTTTTTAGTATTGGGGTTATCTTCATTTTACAATACTTGTTTTATAATTTGATATAATTTAAATTACAAAATAATATTATGTTATGCTTAAATGTGATGTATTTATATTATGGTTCTACGTCTTTATTGGTTGGTATGATAGACGTTTCTTTATTGGTATAGATGCCATATAACTAATTGTTGATAAATAACAATTAACTTTGAGTTAGGTGTTTTTTTATTTTTTTAACAAGGGAAATATTGGGAAATGAGAGAAATATTACAATTATTTTAATAAAAATTTAAATTTTAATATGATTAGGGTGTTTGACACATATTACTAATCTACATAAAACTGTTAATGCCAATTAAACCTTTTCTTACCTTCTTTTTTTTTTCCTAGTTAAACCAAGGCTTTATTATAAATAAGGTTGAGCATTCGAATGGTTACCCGAATCGGTAACCGATAAAAAGTTTTAAATTTGAGTAGATGCAATCGGTTTTCACAAAGTAAAAGTAAAGGTAAAAGTAAAAAAAAAACAAAAAAAAAACAAAAAAACAAAAAAAACCCTAGTCACGATTCTTTTCATAAGTCATCAAGTCATAGGGTTTTTTTCCTCCTCCTCTAGTTGTGAAATTTGAAGCCCAAAACCTAATCTTACTTCAAGATATCAAGGAAATAGGTATGTTTTTGAAGTTCAGATGAAATGTCAGATTTTGATTTAATTTTGCCATGTTTTAGTGGATAATGATATGAATCGATGAATACCGAAGTCTGAAAAAAAAAAAAAAACCAAAATTTTCGGTATCCAATACTAAAAAAATAGAGGAGTTTCGATATCGGTTTCGGTCATGAAAAAAAGGAGAAAAAAAAATTCAGTTCGTTAGATTTCGATATCATTCACTGAAACCGGTATTTGCTCA